CTTTGTACATCTGTTTCTATAAATTTAATGCATATGCTTTTTAGTGTTTTGAAGATCAAAGGTGTTATGTCTAATCTGTAATTGCTTTCATGAAGGTTGTTAATAACAGTTCAAGTCCAGTCTTTCCTAGTAAAAATGACAGTAAACGGTATCTGTATATTTCAAACCACCAATAATTTCGACCAAATAGACATACTGTCACCTTATATGCAAGTGATAATTTCAATATTATCGACACTACTTCATAATTAAGATATCGAGTCTGAATATATATAAATATTTTATTCATATGTTTTAACCCCGTACAAAAATTCGAAAACGTTTGTCTATCGATTATAAACTTGGTCGTGTTTAGTTTACTCTAAATCATCCTTTTCCACTACTATTTTATCATTACCTTCGCTAATGTACTCGAGGTCAATCAATCCTATAGCTATCATTCCTAAGGTTTACGGTTTTAAAACATTGTTCAGTGTCATGCTTAAGATTGGTGGGCACCCAGTGATCGGTCAACATCATTATTTCAGTCCTACAGGAGGTCATTCTCTGCTGGTACTTGTGAATGGTGGCATCCCAGACTGAAGCTTGGTGACGTGAACTCAAATCACATGATAAGTACCAGTCCCCTTATGAGTTCCTACTAAAACCTAATGTAGGTCCAGGGTTTCCTGCTGACTCCGAAGGAATATGTAACACCAGATACCCTAGTTACAGTATCTCAGTAATATTGTCAAATATTTCCTGTAAACTTTTGATGACTCCAATTCGTTGCGCCTTAGTATGTATCTCCTTTGCGGTGCACATCTACGACTGTTACTGGGGACCGAACCCGAAACCTTCGGTCTCGTATATGGACGTTCAACCTCTAAGCCACCAAACTGGGATCCAGTGGTGTACACGTCTAACCTCAATCGATCCGCGATATTGCACGACCACCTATTGTCTTCGATGGGTAGCCCACTTCTGGCACAGTTGGACTCCATTGGTCACGGCTTCTCACTAGAACTGTGGAATGTTCCTTTCGATGCTAGTCACTGGTGATCATATAGAGGGGGGAGTTTTGCTGTTTGTTGACTATTACTGAGATAATGAGCCGATCTAAGTCAGATAACTATTGAGAACCTCTCAATTATATCACATAACAACTAAGGAATATTGAATTAGGTTAGCCTTTCTTGTCACTACACTAAAACTGAACACCACAGTCCAATACAGACATCATCCGAACTGCTAATAACTTACATTATTTACCTTCACCATTTAACTCCTTACGAGTTTCACTTACAAATTTAGTAGGCCTAATTGTTTTAGTAATCTCAGATTGCTTGTAGAGTTCCTTTTCAAGAGTCCTCCTACCTTAAACTTGATAAATGATATTACAGAGAAGGGTGTGAGGAAATTGTTTAATACGTAGTTTTAGTATTACTGGTTGATCTTAATCTCATATCTAGTTATTTTATTGCTTGTTTTAATCAATAATTAAAATAAATCCAGTAATGGTTGTTAAAAACGTGACCAACTGAATCGTTTATCTTCAAAACATTCACTTCTATCCTAATAAAAAGCTACATTTAAACCAACATGAAATAAATTCACTGTACAATTTCATGGTGATTCGTATACTAATTCTCATTATACATTGAAAGTGTTAAAAGCAATCATGGTATTAAAATTGAAAGAATGTTAAATCCACATGCATTACTTTTACTAACAAAATACTTGGAAATAGTGTTACTACTACCAATGCGATGTGTGCTACCTATGTGGACAGATATACATAGTATGTAGCAGGAATTGGAAGTGAAATGCTTATCAGTAGAGGATTGAAATAAAGAGAAGAGAAATAAAAACAATGATGGAATATGTAAATGACAACTCAAGGAAAATGTGCGGATGATGTTTTTAGTGTATGACTTTCATATTTTACAGAGGTAGTGATTTTTGCATAGAAAAATGAGTCTGTTCACTTTACCTGAGATTTCATTCACTACACTACTACTACTGTACACAAAATACATTCACCTTAAATGAAGTGAAGATGGTAATTATTTTAAAATGGAAGTGGTGTTGGAGTGTCAAATATGATGTGAAAGCTAGAACTAGAAATGATATATTTAGTGAGAATCATACTCTTATATGCAGTAGTTGCTCACTAAGTAAACGGAAAAATGCTTGGTATCGCACACATATTGAGAAGCAAAGAGTTAGTTGTCTACATTAATTCCCCAAGACTGACTAGTCATTGAAACTGATTCATTCAGATTCGTTAATGTCAATAGATTCGAAACTTTGAATAAGGATGGTTTATTGTTGAGAAGAATAAGATACTTTTTGAGTACTCTTACGTGACATGAGTTGCATGGTTTTTTAATGGCTAGCGGTACTATAAAACGTTTCAAATTGAATTGAGTACAATGAGATAGCATACTGTAATCTACTGTTGATTTAACTACTAATCCTCTGTTGCGCTTGTTAACATCCGTTATTCTCTTCTTCAACTCCATTTTTGTGTCTATTGGTTGCGTAATATTTAAGCATAGTCATAAACTTGTGACATTGGATTTATTTATCGTTTTGATGGATCATAATATTTACGGTAGTTACTTTCAGTTATTTTGCTACGTTGAATGTATGTTTATTTTTTCTATATTTGATGTTCTTCGTTCTGATTCTTATATTCTCTTCCATCGTAATTTTGACACAGTTATTGGCGGTTATACATATTACTGTATGTTGTTATAGATAGCTCTACATATTGATTTCAGGAAGTAATCTTCTCTGATCATGCACGAATCTTGTAGACACTTTATCAGTTAAGTTTTATAATTCACTACATACACTTTGGTAATAACAGTACTATTTCTGTAGATAATCTAGCGTTGTTTTGTTCGTCGGATTTTTACTAGTTACTCAATCGACAACAAGTACCTCATGGCATGATTATCGATAGTGTCACAAAATATCAGTCTCCATTAACATAAACCAGTATTTATTTTAGCTCATAAATCTTTTTGAATATTAAAAAAGAGGAGTGTTATTTTAGACAAAAACACACACATTTGTACATGTTATATCGTTTATCTTGATAATCGATAGCCGAGGACCAACAAACTAGGTGAAGAATAGAACACAAATGTTCTTGAATATACATTTCAGCAAATAAACTCACTACAATATACAGTAGTAAAAAACAACCATCAGTAGTAGTAGTTTTCGTTGATCATATTTTCGGCTTCGTTAAATCCCTCCCCTGAAGCTAACTCGTACTATGTTGGTTTAATTTGTGATTAACTGAAAACATTCGCCACAGTTGTTTGTGGGTAAGGTTTGTGTTTTTCGGACTGTTTTTTTAAATGTTTTGAATATATATATATATATATATATATATATATATATATATATATATATATATATATGTCAAACGACTCACCTTTATGGTGCCAGACTTAAACCCTTGTAAATAACAAAAAGCAAGGTTTAGTGATATATGTTGTCATGTGTTTTTAAATGTGTATCCAAAATAAATAAACGATTGTGTGATTCCCATTATATCAAAACACAATTATATGAACGAAGAATATTCTTTTCAATAATTTCTCATCAGGTTCTACCATTATAAATCCAAATTAATAATCCAGAGGGAGATCTTTAAATTGTCGATAAATTGTGTTTGAGAAAGCTAACTACTAGTTATTGATCAGTAGCACGAATTTAATGGATATTTTTACTCGACGGAATAACGTGTAAATAGTCATGAAACATAAAAATACTGGTGTCGTATTCTCTAAAAACGTTGGCGATCATAACAACCGAAAAGTGGATAAAAGAAAATCGATTAAAACGCCAGCTTTTGCAAACTTTTGTTTATTTGATTCAGGGTTTCAGAAGTCTTTCTTAATTTAAAATGACTTCCTTAAGATGCGTTCCTTTTAACTAAAGAGTAAATCTGTTTAATCTTCATCAGTTTAACTTAATGGGTGGTTTATGAGCAAAAAATTACATTAACTTCTTATGGGTGTTGTCCAAAGAACTCTTCTTTCGATCATTCCGTTTTCATTGTAAATTATTTCTGTGCATTAACTGGACTAGAATCACAATATGCTAAACGATTCATCTCTCCTCTTTGATAAAATAACATCTCAGTGCTCCTACCGGTCCTTATATGCCGTGTCACTTTGCCATCGAGCATTCCAAAGTCATTAACGTTTTTAGGGATGATGCGATACCTTTTTTTGGACTACGGAAACATTATTAGTTAACTGATTAAAGTTGGTTAAGTTTTGAAAACTAAACTAGTTTTTATTTTTCTCAACGAATTACATGACCAAATAGAAACAACAGCCTCTACTCAAAGTTGTATAAGAAAGCATTGTGTAACCCAAAATTGTATCACCAGTAAACCATTTAATATGACCTGATATGATATCTTTCATTTCAAAGCGCTCAAAGTTATGGTTATGCACTAAGTGTATTTATGATTTTACCTCACTATTTATTAAAAACAAATCTATGTTTGCAAGATCGATGACTATTACGGTGTGCATTTCGTTGATGATATTATATTTGGAAATGATGTTGATTCTGATTAAGCGATCTAAATATATCTGATAGTCCACTATAACAATTCCGCGACAAATTTTGTCTAAATAATTTATGACTTATGTCATGAACCTCATATTTTCGAGATAACCCCTCTCCATTTGTATTAACTTGACCATGTCGGTAAATTGGAGTGCATTTAACAATTATTTATAGAATCAGCTATCACTATTCCTAATATTGTTAAGCTGCATATGTAGCTTGATACAGTTTGTTTGAAATGATGAATTAAAAGATTAATAATTACATTTGAAACTCGATTCAATTTATTGTTTATACAGTTTTACCTCAATTCAATCATCACTGAAAATAAGAAACATTGAACAACAACCTGGTTTTATTCATGGATTTATTAACTTCAATCACTCATGACGCTACTTTCAAAGTAAACTCCTACAACCGATAGTCTCGCTGCTTACAACCCCAAACCCATATAGAAAACAAAAGTTTCAAGGGCATTTCCATCTGAAAAATAATTCATTATTGATACACATTTGACAATTTGATTTCAATTTTTCATATCCTAAAAAATAAACAAAGTTCATTACAGTTGTAACCGGAGATCATTTGTAAATGAGATCGAGTATAGAGTTTGCTTTTTAGCGAAGGGAGTTGAGAATATGTAGATATTTTAATTGTATAATAAATTTCATTCTTTTTTCTTTTTTAAAAAAAAATACAAAGACCAAAATTGGGTCAATGAGTAAAACAATAATTTCCATTTTAAAAAACAAAACAAGACAAAATACCTAGTGCATTGAGACCGGGATTGAAAAACAATATTTCTAATATTTTTGCATAGAAGTACTAAATGATTTTACCAAAAGAGCAATATCAAAATAAGTACAAAGGTAAAGAATACATAAATAAGGATTTGGAGCAGAAGTAACACTGTGTTACTTAATGTAATTAATTAGTCGCCGAATTTTGTAAAGTTTTTATTCACTTATTCATTCGACATAACTACCGTCTGAACTCTGCTTTTTGGGATTTTAAATGTTCATTAATTTCTCATGTTTTATTCTATGATTTCTCTGTACGCATAACATTTGTAGGAAAGAAAACTAGTCTATTTTAAAATAAAGAATGAAAAATGCATCATCGTCATCATGTTCTTAATGGAGGTTGATCGTGAGAAACAAAATTTACTGTTCTTACATCACCGGTTAACTCTAGTGCTGATGGAGATGGTGAATCATTCGATGAATCGTATCCACTTGGGGAATTATCAGTTGTAATTGGAGAAGATACACCAAAATAGCGGAATGTATTATGATTATTAACGGGATTATGATTACACTGTTCAGTCAATGCGTTTGTAAGTGGAGGGAGAACTGGATGTGTCATTGATTCTGATAATGATGAGGTGCTATTCCACGAATATTTAGTTGGTGTCGGATAATTATCAGACGATAAGGGTCGATTTAGAAAATGAGCACTCCTCATATTGGCACTGAAATTTAGTATTGATGTCGTTGTAACTTCTTTTGACTCATTATGACAGTTACATGAACACACTTGTCCACTTATCATTATATGGTTGTAACGACAGTCAATACAGAAATTTTGTCCATTCATATTATTTTGGAATGATACAATTGAACAGTATGGAGATACTCCAGAATCATTACTAATAGAATCACTGGTATTTTGTATAAAATTAGGACTATACGTTTGTCTGTAATGTTCAGAATTTGCAACTGGTGGTATATTCTCGCCAGCATCGTAAACATTTAATGGATTATACATAAATCTTGAAGAATTATGAGAACTGTTAGTCCGGACCACATTCAAATGCTGTCTATCATTATCAGTATGTTCATGATTCATTAATCCGTCAGAAAATCCAAAACGATTAGTTGTACTACTACTACTACTATTACCAGTAGCCGCTGTCTGTTCTAAATTAATAAAATTTGTATCTGATAATCCTGAGGCCAGAGATGAATTTGATGAAGTTGTTGAGAAAAATGTCATTCGATTTAATCGATTATGATTGTATAATCCTCCACTTAACGGTGGATATAAATTTTCTTCATCCATCTCATTGACACCGGGCGAGTAAAATCGATGTGATCGACCTGAATTAATGAGAAAAGTAAATTCGAAATTATGATAATATTGACAAATATAGGCGCTTCCAAATGTTTACCCTTCTTTATGTAAAATATTTCACCTATATGCCTGTAATACTATAATAAATTTCCTGATTTCACCAGTCATTTCAAAGTATAGATCACTGTTATTGGAAAGGTTTATGTCGGTAATTTCCTAGTTATCTTTAAAAAAATAAATAATATTTCACAGTATTGAATTAAAACTCTCACGATATCACTTAGCTACAACTGAAACCTGAATTAAAACTTTCCAATGAAAATTCACTGAAACATTCATTTCAGTCTTTTGCGCGTAAACGATATCTATTCCGAGATAGTCTAACTAGCTTGACGTCTGCCCACCATTGTAGCTGGATAAAATATTTGACTAGATAATTGTGTTGAAATATTTCTTAACCATCAATCTATATGGTTGCGTGGAAAAAATCTTTAAGAATCAAAAACTAATGTCGGTGAATAAAAGTGAATGTTAAATTGACCATTTGTTCGTTTTAAATTTTTTTTATACTTTTTTATTTGAACACATAGATATTGGTACAAGAAGGCACCAAATACATATGAACCACAAAAATCATTCGATTTGTGTGAGGGCTGTGATGCTGCCCGGGTGCCCAAACCGAAGCAGGTGGTCTTCTTAGGGGGTCACACCACGAGCCTTTAACCTAAAGGTCTAATCCATAAGGCAGTGGAGCAATGTCAGGAGATGCAGTCTCATGGTAGTCGGCGATCAATAATTGTTTCATACCCCATTTGTTCTCTCAGGATCCTGGAGGCCATATGCACCATTGGTTTGTAATCAGGGTATTTCAATTTCCCTACGTGGATCCTCCATATCAACCGATCCGGTTAAAGCTTCGGATATTAGCTTTTCATCCTCTCAATTTCGTAGACACCCCCGCCGCGAGAAGGCAGTGAACAGGACTTCCCTGGTAGAAGCTGTATACGCTTGGCCATGTGAGAGCATTTCGAGAGGAGGAGCTGACTCTCCACACCCCCGGTCGTACCAGGGTATTCAGAGGCCCTGGTTTTAAAACACATCATTGTGTATCCAACTAAATCCTAATTTAAATATTTGTTGATTCACACACTAACACTAATTTGGTATTGTAGCGTTCATTCAGCTCACAAACATGATGAAGACCTAATTCTGTAGCAAAGTCTTAACGTCACGAATAACAACATTAATCGGAGAATATTGTTACCATTCAAATGGGTCGATCAAAGCCCAATGTAATGATCAAAAATTAAGGAAATCAGATTTACATCTATGAGTGAATTATGAAGTTTAAGTTAACCAAATAGATTAATTGGTGGGAAAATTTGACACTACATAGCCATAGTATTCTAGACTTCGAAAGTTGTCTTTAAAAAAATGAGTTCGAATATCGGTTCCGAACGTGTCAGTTTTTTGAAATTCTATTTCATCTAGGTTCAAAAGGTAGTCACTTAGATCAACACTTGACGATACTCACAAGTAAACTGAGTTTGCTGAACAACGTTATTCCTCAACCTTTTAGGGCTGTAACTATCTCGTACAAGTAGTGAATATAAAGATGGAGAAATTGTTAGGTAATAGGTTTCTAATGAAATTGCACTATATTTTGGATTTATACGATACTAGTTCAAACAAATAAATGGTTTACTAAGTCTAAAATGGATGAGTTCAATAATTTGGTTTGTGCTCTGTCCGGTGAAAACTCCGTCTGTAGCTCCTCTAGAGTTACTGCCGGTTCCAAGCCCGGGTAAAGGAGGAGCGTTGAGCATGGGGTTAGCGACCACATCCCGTAGAAAACTAACTCGCTAAAAAAACGCTAACCAGAAGCAATAATTCAAACCATTTTAACTCTCCCCTGGCAGTTAGAAGGTCTTCATTCAGAAGAACTATGACGCCTCATGGTGAAAGCTGAGTTTCTTCCGAAGCCACGAGGCTGATGTCCCTTCTGACAACCAGAGCAACAATTTTTATAGGTACATGGAACGTCCGAAGAATGTGGGAGACTGGGAAGACCAGTCAAATAGCAACAATAATGAGGAGATACAACTTGACAGTACTGGGAATCAGAGAAACCCATTGGACCCAAGCTGGACAACAAAGGATAAATACGGGAGAGATGCTGTTATACTCTATACACGGAGAGGAAAATGCTCCACACACTCAAGGAGTTGCTCTAATGCTGTCCAAGGTAGCACGGAATGCACCTGAAGGATGGGAATCTCATGGATCCAGAATCATCAAAGCATCATTCAAGACAAAAAAGGAGGCGATCACAATGAATATTATCCAATATTATGCACTCACCAATGATAGCAACGATGACATTGAAGATCAATTCTACGAGCGGCTGTAGTCAATCATACAGAAATTCTCAAGAAAGGACCTCACCATTCTGATGGGAGATCTAAACACCAAAGTCGTAATAGACAACACCGGATATGAAGATATCATAGGACGGCATGGACTGGGAGAGAGAAACGAAAATGGGGAAAGATTTGCAAATGTGTGCATTCAACAAATTGGTCATCGGAGGCACAACATTTCTACACAAAGCTACGTGGATCTCACCGGACCACACCATAGAGAACCAGATAGATCATATTTGTATCAATAAAGTCCCGAAGGACAATGGAAGATGTGAGAACCAGGAGAGGAGCTGACATAGCTTCAGATCACCACCTAGTTGTGGCCAAGATGAAACCGAAGCTAAAGAAGAATTGGACAATCAGCACTACAAAGGTTCAATACAGCCTTCCTTCGAGATACTGACAAACTCAATGAATTCAAGATAGCTCTCAACAACAGGTTCCAAACCTTACAAGATCTACTGAAGGAAGAAGAAACTACTATGGAGGACAACTGGAAAGGTATCAAAGAAGCATTAACTTCAACGTTTCAAGAGGTTCTGGGCCTCAAGAAGCATCATCATAAGGAATGGATCTCTATAGAAACACTGAACAGGATCAAAGAAAGGAAGAACAAGAAGACAGCAATTAACAACAGCCGAACACCAACAGAGAAAGTCCAAGCACAATCTGAATACATAGAAGCAAACAAGCAAGTGAAGAAGAGCATTAGAGCCGACAAGAAGAAATACCTGGAAGAACTAGCAACGACAGCGGAAAAAGCTGCAAGAGAAGGAAATATGAAACAACTTTACAATACAACGAAGAAACTAGCAGGGAAATATAGTAGACATCGAAGCAGCACACATAGATCTTCCTATAGATGTCATTCCACCAACGACCGAAGAAATGAGGATGGCCATTAGACAAATCAAGAGAGGGAAAGCAGCAGCACCTGGCGACATACTAGCTGAAGTCAGACATCGAAGTAACTACAAACACACTTCACCTTCTATTGAAGAAGATTTGGGAGGAGGAACAAGTGCCTATGGACTGTAAAAAAGGACACCTCATCAAGATTCCAAAGAAAGGAGATCTGAGCAAATGTGGAAACTACAGAGGCATTACACTACTGTCAGTACCAGGGAAGGTCTTTAACAGAGTGTTTCTGAACCGGATGAAAGACGCAGTAGACGCCCAACTTCGAGATCAACAATCTGGATTCCGTAAAGATCGGTCGTGCACAGACCAAATCGCGACACTACAGATCATAGTCGAACAATCGATTGAGTGGAACTCGTCACTGTACACCAACTTCATTGATTACGAAAAGGCATTTGACAGTGTAGATAGAAGAACATTATGGAAACTTCTTTGGCACTACGGAGTTCCTGAGAAGATTGTCAAGATAATCCGGAACTCATGCGACGGACTACAGTGCAAGGTCGTGCATGGAGGACAGCTGACAGACGCATGCCAAGTAAGGACCGGAGTCAGACAAGGCTGTCTACTCTTTCCCTTCCTCTCTCTTCTGGTGGTCGACTGGATTATGAAGACCTCGACATCTCAGGGAAAACATGGAATACGATGGACAGCTTAGAATCAATTAGACGATTTGGAATTCGCAAATGACCTGGCCCTCCTATCGCATACACATGAGCAAATGCAGATAAAGACAGCCAGTGTAGCAGCAGTCTCTGCATCAGTAGGCCTCAACATACACAAGGGGAAAATCAAGGTCCTCAAATACAACACGGAGAACAGCAATCCAATCACACTTGATGGCAAAACTCTGGAAGATGTAGAATCCTTCACATACCTGGGAAGCATAGTCGATGAACAAGGAGGTCCAGATGCAGATGTAGAGGTGAGGATTAGCAGGGCAAGTGCCGCACTCCTACAGTTGAAGAGCATATGGAACCTAAAACAACATTCGAACAATGTCAAAGTCAGATTCTTCGATAGGAACGTCAAGACAGTTCTACTGTCCGGAGCAGAAACTTGGAGAACTGCTACAACCACCATCAAGAAGGTACAAGTATTTATAAATGGTTGTCTACGTAAGATAATCAACATCCATTGACCGGATACCATCAGCAACAGCCTTCTGTGCGAGAGTACAAACCAGCTTCCAGCTGAAGAAGAAATTAGGAAAAGACGTTGGAAATGGATAGAACATACATTACGCAAATCATCAAATTGCATCACGAGGCAAGCCCCAACTTGGAATCCTGAAGGGAAACAGAAAAGAGGAAGGCCAAAGAACACATTACGTCGGGAAATAGAAGTAGATATGAAAACGATGAATAACAACTGGAAGGAGCTAGAAAGGATTGCCCAGAACAGGGTTGGATGGAGAATGCTGGTGGGCGGCCTATGTTCCTTCACGAGGAGTAACAGGCGTAAGTGAAGTTCTGTCCGGTGATTTAAAGCTCTTGATACTCTCATAACATTGATACATAAACTAAAACGCGTTTAATTGAAATTCACTTCGACAGAAAAATACAACTATCAACTTGATTTTTATCAAGGACAATATGTATGAAATGACTGAGGAAAATCAGCACATTCTTAGATCACAGACACACATCAAATTCAACTGACAGCCCATATGAATCAATCAGCCCATGTTGATTTCCACCAATTACATTTAAATTGCGAACAGCAAGCTATGATCTGTTTATGACTCAGATTGGTCTGGAAAATAGAAACGTATCAGCATTAAAATCATTAGACACAGTGGGATATTATGCCTTTTAACATTCAGTAAATCAACTTAGATTCATATCACTTGCAATTAAACTGGACTATTTGGTCATAAAATCACATTAACAGGTCAAAATTAACTTTTGCAGACAGCCATCTTTGGTTTAGGGACAAACTGGGGTCAAATAAACTGAATATGAATTAGTCCTATATGTCGTAGAACATATGGTGACAATTTACATGAATAAGATACTGAAACGATGCTTCATTAGTTCTTAACCAATAATGGATTTATGAAAATAAGCAAATTACTATTATTTATATCATTATTATCTTTATTTGTATTGAAAGGTAGCTATTTCATCCTACTTTGGAGTAGCGAAACAAAATGTTAGATAGAAATACGCTAAACTCATATAATTCTATATTTGAAACTAATCGTTTTCAGAGACCTACAAGAACTGTCCCTTAACTTTCATTGGAAATTTCTAGTTTGGGGAACCTTATTCAATCCGTAAGAACTTCATAATCTGGTTAAGAAGCATTCTTATGGCTGGTTTCTATGACTAGCAACTTCATTGGATGAAGCTTAATGCACTAGTTCACAGAAGGTTGTAATTGGGTTTACTATATGAACGTCAACAAAAAGGAAACCAAGGTTCTAAGTTGCTCACCAACTGTCTTCAAACATTAAATGTATACTAATGTTTAGAGAAATATCTATATCAAATTACCTGTTAAAATGATAGCAATAATAAACCACATAAGGTCACTCGAACTGGTGAATTTAGAAAAAATACTCTGTTATGTATCAAAAAACCTTCATCATTTTGTTGGTCTCATACAACAATTCAGTAATACAAACATTTGTTAAAGTGAATTCCAGATAAACGACATTTGATGATTGGTTTATCCTAATCACTCTCCCTATGAGGTCATGACCTAATCTTAACCCGTCCTGAACTTAGATTTGTGTGGTAGGGACAGGAAAAATCCCTTACAATAATAATAATAAAAATAGTAATAATGTCATAATAAGTTATGAGCACAAACGAACTTCACTATTCATCATATATAATTGATAAATATATAGTCAGTTGAGAAAAACGCTTCCTTTAAGTTGCTGTATGTATAACAATCTAACTTATAAATCAAATTGGAAGATGTAAAACACCAACTTATAAAACTCTAATTATTAAGATCTAGTCATGTTACAGAATTCTTTAATTAGTTAGAAAAGTAAGAGCATTATTTTAATTAATTAGATCATTGGCCCGAATTTCGTAAGTAATTCAATGGACTATCCATTGCATAAAATACTTCTACGTATATTTGAAGGATGTTTAGTGAAAAAATATTCATTTAATCGGTTCATTATCCGGTGAAATAAAATTGACATAGAGATAACCAGTGTATATGATGGAACTAAAAATTAAAGACATCCAGTCTCCTTTAATTTTCTCAATGTACTAAGGAAAATGAGATGTGGATTGGTTGAGGTTAGACATTAACACCATTGGATGCCGGCTCAGTAGTCCATTAGGTTAAGTGTTCGCGCGCGAGACTAAAGGCCCTGGGTTCGAATCCCACTAGCGGGACCGTAGGTGCGCACTGCTGAGGAGTCCCACAAGGGGACGAGACGACCCTCCAGTGATTCCAGGTTTTCAATGGTGGTCTAACATCAATCGGTTCATGATCTCAATCAAAAAATGAGATATATTTACAATTGATTGATCACTGGGTGGTGATCAGTGTCATGTATTTCAAGTCCTTCTTAGTGCAGACCGAATCTTATCAACCAAGTTGCAATTTGGCCACTAGTCTAAGTGACTCGACATCGCTTGCACTATGTTGAGATAAGATGGTGTTTGGTCAACAGGGACCTTGTTGACTACCTCATTAATACACTAATCTGTTGGATAAACAATTGATTGGCAGGGTGTAGTTGTGTTAAGTTTAGTAAATTTTGGACTTGTCATAACTCTTAAGAATTGTTGTATAACGTATAACATACAAATTTTGAAACTACAATTCTGTCTGAGCATAAAAGTATAATGTTATTATTTGGCAACCTAGATAGAAGTAACATGAGTTATGGACAATAATTCGAAAAATTACGATACAGTGTCAACAGTACACAATATAAATTTAGACACGCTTATTACGTAAAAGTTTCAATTGCTTACATCGAGCTCCTATAAACAATAAGAGCAAGAAAAATAAAACCCTATAAAATTTGCCAAATTGTGATACTCAATGAGATGGAAAACCAAAAAAAAGAATAAATGAAAACAAAAATAAGCATGAAATCTTGGTATCCCAAAAAAATTTTATGAGAAATTCAAGCTGACAGTGAATATATCAGTGCTACAACAGTTGGTCTTAGTCATATTACCCAGGATCTGTAACCAGTGACAGAATACAAAGAAATGCTGTTAAAAAGTTAAACCATGACATAATAATAATTTTCTACAATTCAATCCATTTTCAACATTATGTATTCTTTAGCACATTAATTAGTGGTTTACTAAATCGTTAACTGATTAGTAGTTCACAGGAAAAAATATTGTATTTAAATACAGAAGAACCCTAACTCTAAGCTAAATGTCGCTTCACGCTTCACAGAATGAAAACCACACACACATATAATACTCGCTAATCATTTCATTACCAAACGAAGAGAACGAAATTTTAAGTAAGTTACCCAATAAATCATATGATCACGGAAAAAAAGTTAAATCAAACTAGAGTATACGTTGCTAATATCTGATTGAAGTCATTGATAAAAAAGCATTATCAACTGAATTAATTATAATTATGGTGTACATTCTCAGTAGTAAAATAGTTCTATTGAACGTGCTGTATCTGGCATATGACAAAAGTTAATAGATGGAAATTATCTTGGTGCTACAGTACGACAATGTAAAAATTAGATGTCTTGTTTTCATTAACATTGCACTGCCTTAACTGTTGTTGCCCAAGATATTGAAGAAACTGTTTATGTTTTCAAATTCTATTGACCTATTTGAACGCCAAAGTTAATATTGTGATTTTTCCTGAATAAATGTAACTGAAGCACAATACACGAACACAGACTTAGTTATTGAGTATGTTTTTTTCTAGTTGATCTGGTCGTCGTGATTTAGAAGAATTTTCCGAAGCTGATAATGTTCTATGTTCTGTCATATTATTCAGAATAAACACAGCTATCATTATATTTTACGAAGAAACAACTGTCGACAATGGAACGTACCAGTGGCCTAAATTATAATTGGTTAGTCTCAAATACACCTTCAAAAGTACATGAATTCAGAGATATTTTATGGATCATAAACACCAACTTACCGTTAAATTGATCCATTTATTAAGCTGAACCAGAAGTCGCTGTTGTGATATAATATTTTGAAAACCAGAAAAATAAGGACGTAGTAATTTGGAATGGTCCTCTCTTCTTAATGATGTGATTCAAAACATGGTACTGACATTTAGAGCCATGACTTAGCCCATGAAATTAATAAATTAAATTTTTGTTCTTTCAACTCAGCTTCTGATTGGTTTATAAATTTGTTGGGAATTCTGATTTTATCTGGTTTATTCAGATTTTAACCACCTCTCCCCCGTAAATCTCACTTTTAATATTTCAGGCCACTTAGACTGATGCGAAAAGGAGTATGAAAATATACATCCAACCTTCAAAAGTGATTGACCAATGTTGACCTGAAGAGAATGAAAATGGTAAGATAAGGGTACACAATCTTAGCCAGACAATGGACTGATCATGACACATTAATAATTTCATTTGGCTAACAACCTGGATGATGTCATAGTGCTTTATAAAAGCTTATTTGAATAGTTGTTGAACCTAAGACATCATGTTAGAAAAAACTAGACTGTGTCAAAAATGTAAAGGTTGATAATCCGATCAGTCATTTCTAACATCTATATAAATTTAACTGATTGCGTAACTGGTTAGCCAGACAGACCATAAGTCTAATAAAAAAAATTTCGTTGAACTTGCGAAAGGTTAATATACTTGGTTGATCGATAAATTTCTCCTCAGAATAATTCAGAAGTGAGTACCACTCACTCACTAAGTGATTGTACTTATTTTATTAAAATTAGTCAACTCAATTTTGCATTCAATTTAAGTATGGCTTCATTACAATGAACTATTACTAGAAATCGATACTCACAGAAGAGAAAATGATGAAATTCTTTGAAAACATTTATAACTACAGTTCATAGAACTTTCTTAATCCAGTAAACTAATCTAACTGTAAATTCATTTTGTATTGTTCGTTTGAATCTTCACATTGATGTTTAGGACTGCAACTAATCAGTTTCTTATTGGCATATGTGCATCCTGTATGGACATCCTCGATATTGCCTTAAGTCATGTGCATTATAAGCAAGGATGGATGGTGGCTAGCAGTGGAATCCAGGACTTGTGTTTCTTCGTATTTGGGAGTCCCGGAACGCAGGTACATTCAGCTGACGAATCCCAAACAGGACGGAACGCGCGTCCTGGATCCCACTGCTAACCACCACTCATCTTTGCTTATGACCTAACTGTATTTTGAAGAGAGGGAATAAATAAAGCTGCTGATAATAATAATAATAATAATAATAATAATAATAATAATAAAATATCTATGAGGATGTAACATGTCGTAGGACTTGAAAGGTAATTATTTCATATTATAAATATATGATGAAGTTACGGAACATCACTCACTAAGGTTGCATATTTGAGATTCTTCAGTAGTAAGTAAATCAAGCGTTTGGTGTTATTAACTTCTCAAATAACATTGCTTTATATGGTCTATCCTAATTTATCTAATAGAATGCCCTGGTACGACTAAGAGTGGGGAGAGTCCGCTCTCCCTCTCGAAATGCTCTCACATGGCCACGCGTATATAGCCTCTGCCAGGGAAGTCCTACTCACTGCCTTCTCGTGGCGGGGGTGTTGTTTACGAAAATGAGAGGACGAAAAGCGAATGTCCGGAGCTTTAACTGGATTCCAAACCAATGGTGCATATGGGCTCCAGTATCCTGTGTGAACAAATGGCGTATGAACCAATTGTTGTTCACCGGCTTCCATGGGACTGTATCTCCTTACGATGCTCCACTGCCTTGTGGATCAGACCTTCAGGTCGAAGGCTCGGGGAGTGGCCCCCTAAGAAGACCACCTGCTTCGGTTCGGGCACCCGGGCAGCATCACAGCCCTCACACAAATCGAGTGATTTTTGTGGCTCATATGTATTTGGTGCCTCTTTGTACCAATATCTATGATTTCAACCTGTGAAATTTCTAAAACTCTCCACAAAACCCATTCTGACAATATCTATGTGTTAAAATAAATAATAAAAATCTAATAGAATTGAATATGAAATTTCATAGGTCATTAAAATTAGACGACAATAACCTTTTTATTAAAAGTCGGTATTGATACTCCATACTGTACTGTTTTATATGTTATCCTGATGGAGGTTATATTTTGTATCACAGGCGTGATTCACTGTCATACATTATTCAACGCGGTCTGAGATTTTATCTCATTAAGGAGTATTTATTTCATTTATTTATTTGATTCCCTTGTCTTCTATTTGTTTGTCTTCTATTCGAAATAATTTCCTGAGATAATTCTCTACTCAACATCGAACCGTGTTTATTTAATTTGGCGATTCTTGAAGCCTAGTATACCTGACTGTATTTAACAATTAACAAAGCTGTTTTACTGGAATGGTTCGGCTCTACATCAAAATATGTTCCTAACTAATTATGTAGCATAAAGGTGAAGTCTTACAGAGTTACATTCATATTTAAGGCTTTTCTGTACAATTTTGCCACATAATTAATTCAAAATCCTTAATACTTTGTATTGATATTGTCCATTCATCTGACAATTTATCATGTTGTTGTTTGCGTTTGACCTCAAATTATTCAGGGGTTTCAAGTCAGTAATTCAACATCGTGAGTGGACATCACTCAGACATATTATACCACTGTGTTTCATATACAAATCATTATCATTTTTCATGTTAACAGTTAAAAATCCATTTATAAAAGCACAACCATTATTTGATTAGAGATAATGTATGACTAGAGCTAAGATCCTATGTCTACTAATTCATTTTATGACGTTTTGAAAAACACCTCAGGATTCTCCTGATGGTATTCAAATTAAGCATCGAATAAGCCAGATAATAAAAAGTGTCTTTTTTAAATACTACCACCTTTGATGTCTGAAAGTGATTTAATGAAGAGTATACATTCAGAAAATGGAATATTAACGTTGTGCGAATGATGCATCTCCAACTACTTGTGTTTAACTGACCTCTTTATAACTTAAACTTTCTACATTTTAACATCAGTAAAACTAATCAGTCATGGACATCGGAGGAAAAAACCACCGAATAGACAACTATAAACAAAGGATCATGTGGATATGCATGAGTTTCATGTTGGTCTACTGAAACAGAATACATTCGGGAAAATTTGTTTAACAGTAACTAGATTACTGTTAGTTGGTATAAATAGTTGCTAAGTATGATAACTTATGTGATCTTACATCGCAGATTGATTTCATTCAGAGAACCATTAAAAAGCATGAAGCACACTACAAATGTTTTGTCTGATTACGAGTGCCCTTATCATCATTCATCTGCAACACTACGAGGTGTTGCAGTTAGAATTTTCATGCCACGTAGAGAAAGACTAACCTTCATGTAATTGATTTAACACTCAATGGTAAACATTCCTATGTTCAGTCAATTTGTAATACTGCAGGATCATCATTCAACTGAATATTCCGAGCTTATCATAACTCGGGCAAAAAATCAAACCAATATTAAGAAGTTGATACCTAGTTATTTATATTGTATAAAGTACGAAAGCTACTATGGTTATTACTACTACTATTAGTGGTAGCAGTAGTAGGATAGGAAGAAACGTTATGCAGTTTATCTGACGCTGAATCCTATTTTGCTTCCAGTTGGCTTGATACTTATTACTGGCCCATAATTTAGATAAGATTTGAATTTACTCAAAAATGTTAAAACAATGAAATAAATTTGTGCTAGTTTCAACTTACTGTAATTGAGATTTTTAAAAACTTGTAAAAAGTAGCTGAACAAAATACTGTCCCTGATTGATTAACTGCATCATGTACTAATTATCAAATAGTTACAATCAGCGTCGAACTAACGAGATAAGAGGCGAATAGAGAGGAAATATGTTTAACTCCAATAGAAATCTGAACAACAAGCCAAAACTGTCAAGCAAGACGAAAGGATGGAATATTGAGAACGATACTTAATTCAATATTTAGAGATGGGCCAGAGACAGGGAATGGATACAGCAGTTCCAGTGCAAGTGATTTTGCCCCATGTCATCCATTGTCTTCGAACACTGACGTTGAGTATCGCTTGAACCTTAACAAGCAGGTCTGTGTCTACCGATATGAGCCAGAATAACAATGAATGACTTAATGGGTTAATGGCATATCATGATTTATTCGATCTTTGAGCTTTATTCAGCCTACTCTTATATCATATAGCATTGAACATCGGGATAAATGAGGCAGTCAAACATTTCAAACACATGTCCTAACCGTGCATTATCATACATGGATTTCTAATACTGATCCAGACAGATTGATCGGAAATTTCAATACAACCAATAATTTACAGGTTAAAGCCAAATGGCTTAAGCTTTGTATCTTGTCTCAAGACATTTAATAGAAAATTCTACAACTTCAATACTTGTTTTTAATTAGAATCTTTTTAGTATGCCGCTTAAAAATTACTTTTAATATTGTTCAGTCAAATGAGACAGTATTTCTGCCAAGTTCATATTTTAATGCTAAAAAATTAGTACTTAAGAGAAAAATCAATACAAACATTTAGAAAAGTTGGATAATGGCTTGCAGTGGGACTCATAAGTTGAGTGTAACTGTATCCTAGTTTCGATGAGAACATCAATATTTGGATAAAGGTGCAACCAACTTGTGAGTCTCAAATACGACAAACCTATATCCTGGACTCCACTACTAGAGCCCGTCTAACTTTACCGAAAATTTGTGATTAAATGATAATATGAAGATCAACCTCAGAATATTCATATACTAAAAGAAATCGACCCTTTGCAATCCTCAACATCGACAACAGAAAAATGTAAACCTCTATTATTTTCAAAACATTTATTATCCTCATTGTTGAAACCACGAATCGATCTAAGCTAGACTATAACTGAAAATCTAGAAGCACTGAACGGCCGTTTTGTCCTAGTATGGGATTCCTCAGAAGTGCTCATCCATTAATTTATAACACTCATTCAAAGTCAAATTTCACTTCACTGTTAATTAAAAAAAAGGCAACTCAATAAACACTGTACATACAAAACTCAATACTTACAGTTAACGTTATGACCCATACTAATATTATAAACAGACTAATTCAAGATACATGCAATTTTTATATATTGCTAAAACGAAACCATCAATATGATTAGTTTTTTTTTTCTGTCGATGTACCAAAATAATTTAACACCTAGATATTAATACAAAGGTCATGAAAAGTTAATTCTTGATAAAGACACTTTATCATATTGTGTTACGTAAGGTGAACTACAAAAAATGTCTTATCAATATTATTACTGTTACTTGGCTCTATGATGTGCAAAATTTTTTTTTTCTAATTTTATTTTCTTTATATCTTAATCAATATTAATTTTGAGTTTAATTCCGATCATCATTTTAAGTGAAATATTGTACATAAATTTTAGTTTTATTGTTTATTCATAAATGTCAGAATGGGTTTTGTGGAGAGTTTTAGAAATTTCACTGGTTGAAATCATGAGTCAATTGAAGCTAGACCACCAAGGAAAACCTGGAAGCACTGGACGGCCGTTTCGTCGTGGTATGGGACTTTCCAGCAGTGCACATTCATAAATGTATTAATATTTCTTATTGATAATGTCAAAAACTGTAATATTGGTCAATCGTT